CCCCATATTCTATCTACCTAAGCTAAGGCAAGCCTCGCAACCAACCGCCTCTCAAAGACGAGTCTGGGTTGCTGTTAAGGAACTTAAAGTAAGTTACCATAATGGGTATATATAGTAAATAATAGGGTTTCCCCAATATAGTAACTTAATTTAAGTTCCTTAGCAGCAACCCAGGAGTGGGCTGGATTGGGAGGTTTACTACCTCCTCTTCGCACTGAATTGTGCATGGCTAGTGGTACAAGCCGCCATGGCAGTTCTTCGAGTGCGCGGGCAGCGGAAGTTTTCTTTCTTTGCGTTTGCCGAAGCCACGATTGTAGGGACCTGGCCTATCATCTCCGACGCGTATGATACACTGAAAGATGTCTTGTTTGGTGCGCTCTGTATCCAGTCTGAGCATTGGCTGCTGAAGCTCATAGGGGTTATCAGCTGGCTGTACTTGATACTGATTCACATGTATTTCGCACGTGACGACAACTGCGTGACGGATCTGATTTCTTGCTACCTGTGCGTGCTCATGGCCCCAACAAGCGCGGCGGACGCCGACTCCTGGTTGAAGTAGCAGTTGCTATGGCTTCCCTTCACAGCAAAGTATGGATACACAGGCGTTTGTGGTGTCTCTTTTTGGGATCCAATGTTGAGTGGGATCCATTTTCTAGAGCCCCTTGAAGCTTTGGGCACCTCAGTTTTCATCTCAAGGTATCGTTTTGAAGAATTGTGCATTTTCACAGTATAAGGTTTAGGGCTAATAGTCCCCCTTAAGTAGGTAGAATATGGCTTTGAGTATATTATACTAAGATCCCCATATGCCCCATATTCTATCTACTTAAGGGGGACTATAGGGTTTAGTGACTGGACCTCAGCAGGTCAATTCCGAAATGTCAACTAAAGGCCTGTAGCCCTCAACCTTGAGCTTACTGTAGCCTCCTTAGGAATCAATGTTCATGTATATTAGTAACCCCAAAGAACCAATAGAATTCATGTGTTCATCATAGGCCTGGGGGGAATAAAGGGTATGTGTGGCCTTATCAGAACAGAAGCGCGGCAGTGTCCCGGGGATCTGTCAATGCACATAAGAGACTAAGCCACGACGCTGCGGGAAGACTTGAAATTTACAAATTAACGTAAAGATCTCAAGGCATAGATTTGCTGTAACTCCCATGCATGTGCCCCTACGTAGTAGGTATGGCCTCTTTTATCATAAAGCTGTCTCTTCTTGGGGTTACTGGATGAGCGAAGAACAACACCTGCTCTGCAATATCTACAAGGGGCCCATATCCAGGAATCAGTAGTTTCCAGATTCTTTTCCATTACCCCAATATACTAATTGGCAGCACACACCCAGAAGTTCCCACAAGGAAAATCCACACAGCAGTGATTTCGAATCATCTGGTTCAGCTCCGAAGCTCTAACCCGAAAAAGCCCACCACACCTCGACAAGGAATCTTCTCACGGTGCCCACTATATAGTCCTCAAAAGACGGACACCATGGTGACCTTACGATCCCTGTGCGGTTTTGTTCTGAAGCTATTCGCGGATTGGAATTGTGTAATTAGGGAGAATCCAAAGTCACAACCAGGCAATGTCCTTCAGTTTCTCGTAATTACGAATAAAAAATATCAAGAGGTGTTGTGCAATATAACTTCGTAGCCCAGGACGACCATCCCAGCAGCACCAGGGACTGTCTCCGATGTGTCTTCAGTCGCTGCTCTGCCACTGTTCTGCCTCTGCTCTACAAGCAGGCAGGGCTCAAAGAGGTGATTAAGTGATTGATGAGGATTGTGTGGGTGATGCGGGGCGTAGGCTACGGGATACAGACATCCCATTGAAGTGGATAGAATGTAGAAAGTGAAATGGTAACTTTTGCTTCTTATGTACTCGAAATTCTACAGAGCTTAAGCGCAGCCGGCTTGCAAGGCACAGAGGCTGCATGTGGTTGGGGACCCGGGTCGTCGTACTTACTTTCCACAGGAATGGGATGGTATCTGGTAGGTTGCATAAATGGGGGGAGCCCAATATAGACCCAATACTATATTCCTAGCATAGGGATCCCCAAAAGCGTGCCACTGATTCTGGGTTTAGGGTTTAGGCTTTATATAGGGTTTTGACCATAATTTGGTTGGAAGACACAAGAGCTGTCAGCCTATGTGTAAGTTCCGAGCAATGCTGAAGCTCTATGGGGGACCGACCTGAAGACGCATCACGGGGTGGATAGGGGCTTTTGCGCCAAAAGACCGCAAAGTATCATTCAATCAGCCAAAATCCTAAACCGTGAGCTCTACTCCCTAAACGCTACGCCTCAGACCCTAAGCCCTTAGATGCTGTAGCCTTAAAACCTGAAGCGACTAAGCCCTCAACCTTCAAGGACACCCCCAGGCGCAGCCTCGGATAAGCCTACAGTCCCCCTTCAGTAGATAGAATATGGGGTATATGGGGATCTTATTATAAAATACTCAAAGCCATATTCTAAGGGGGACTATATAGGGTTGTAGGGTTTGGGGTTTAGGGATGAGGCTTTCGGGCTTAGGCTTTGGAGTCTAGGGATTAGGGTTTAGGGTTTGGGGTTTAGGGTTGGGGGTTTAGGGTTTTGGCTTGAGGGTTTTGGGTTTAGAGCTTTGGGTCTAGGATGTATAAAGTTCCCTAAGCAAACGGAAGGGTCTCTTCTGGCTTTTCCGGCTTCCGTTTTCTGTCCTGTCCTGGGTCGACATGGACTCTAAGAAGAACTCCGAACAGGGAACCCAAAGAACGTGGTAAGAACAGTATAGGAGTTTAGGGTTTACCTGGACCCCAAAAGTATGTGAAATTATTGCCTTTATGCCTGTTATTCTGGGTTTAGGGCTATTATTTTACATACTTTTGGGGTTTAGGTAGGGTTTAGAGGAGCATATGGCCCGGGTAACGGGTAGGTGTACGCATCCCTATCATATTTCTACTATATTCTTCAGGTTCCTTGTTTGGGGTACCCATGAGAGTGCTTTTCGGGCTGCTGTTGGGTGATATGACTACTGGGCTGGCAAGTTGTATTAAGTTGGTAGTACAGTCAGTGTTTAGGGTTTAGGGTTCTGAATAGCTGTTAATACCATCCCAGCAAGGAACTATTTTCTTGCCCCAGGTTACGCCAACTAAGCGGCACCTGCTGATTTACGAAAACGTGCCGCAGGCCATCTTTGCCATCGCCCCTTGGTAGTATCCCACTTAATAAACCCTGTAATACCCTGTATAGTGGTGCCCTATATAACCAGCTCTTCGGGAGCTTAGACTACAACTCATATAGACCTCTATGCAGAGCAAGCATTGGTTTTCCTGGAAAGATAATTAGGGGCAGTGCTCAAGGTCGCTTGGGATGTATGGAGTTGGACTTTGGTGCAAACATTTGGTCATCGCGAAGAAAACCTTTCCCCCTTACCCATTAAGCTTCAGAATCGGATGGATAAACGATCTTGCCGCTTGATCCTGTAGAAGCAGAGTCTAGACAAGGTGTTGAATTCGCATCTTTAGAACCATGCCTCCCAGGGGCGCCATACGGCAAAGGCAATTCTAGGCTCTGAAGGGAGCGATGCGGATCCGAAAAAGGCGGGCCCTTGTTTGCCATCTACATTCCTCGAAGCCCTCAGACCTGGTCTCCTCATCCGCAACCAGCAAGAAGCAGGTAAGCCCTCGAGCCTTGCATCTCTTAGGTTGCTGTGAAGTAGCTTAACCCAGGTCATCAGAACAAGAAATCATAGTATCCACTATGTGTATGTGTATTTGTATAATATAGTATGTATATATCACAGCAAAGTCTCAAGGTAAATCCTTTCTATAACCCCACACCCTAAGCCTAAAGCCTAAACCGGTCTGCCTGAAAAAAACTGTATAGTCTGCAGCCCTATAACCTACAGTCAGCTCCTTCACCCCTTTACCCTTACACCCCACACCCTGAGCCTTGCCAGCAAAGGCTCAGTAAAACCCTTAAACCCTAAATCCCTAAATCTCTAAACCCCAAATCCCTAAACTCTAAGCCCCTAAATCCCTAAACCCTAAATCCTTAACCCTAAATCCCTTAACCCTACACCCCTAAATCCCTAAACCCTAAATAGTATACCCCTAATATAACCCTATATATCCCTTTAAAGGGTCCTAGGGTTTCCATTTTCTTTTCCATTATCCCTAAAACAGTCACTCTAAACCCTAAACCCTAAACCTGTTCTTACTAAAGTCAAGGTCTACCTTCTTTTGGAGGGTGGATCTATCCTCGTGGCCTTGCTAAACTTGGCAATTCCCAGCCTGCAGATCTTTCTGACCCACATCCTGTTACCTGGTCTTCAAGGGGATATGGGGTTCGGGGTTTTAGGTGTTTAGGGTTTTAGGGTTTAGGGTTTTAGGGTTTAGGGGATATGGGGTTCAGAGTTTGGAGTTTTAGGGTTCAGAGTTTAGGGTTTAAGGTTCGGGTTTAGGGATTCAGGGTTTAGGGTTCAGGGTTTGAGGGATATGGGGTTTAGGGTTTAGGGTTCAGGGTGGGGGCCTGGAGCAAACAGCGTCATGCAGTGGTTACAGAGGGGTATATGGGGATTATACAGAGTTAAAGAATATTACCCCAAGAATGGAGAATCACATGGGAAAGGGGGAAGATGAAATGGGAACTGGTTTTTGTTGCAAGGGTTTATACGGATTGTGTTTCAGAAGCCTCAATAATTTGCAATTTGCTGGTCCTGGCTTCCTTGTATGATGATGGTATTGAGTACTTCACATAGACTTCAAACGACAATGGTAATTATTCGGTCCCCACAGTACCGCATTTTCACAGCACGGGTTGTGCTAAGGTTTCAGGCTAAGAGCTAGGGTGTAGCTAGAGGGAGAGAGGTACATAGCTTTGGATGCGTGTGAAACCGCCGGCATCTCAGAAGCGGGAAAATACGGTATCACATTGTGGGTTTAGGGTTTAGAATTTCGGGTTTAGGTTTAAGGGTTTAGGGCTCAGGGTTTAGGAGTTTGGGGTTTGCCGTTCAGGTTCAGGGTCATCCAGATGCCCACTTTGAGGGGACCCAATGCCTGAGGTGCCACAGGACTTGCAGCAGTGCTATGAGATCCATGTGTTTATAACATATGAGCTACGGACTAAAGTTAGGTCTATAATTCCTATTACCCAAAACCCAGGTACATAATTATTGGGTACTTGGACCCTCTGGGTAGGGGAATGTATAGGGATCTTGGGGAGACCTTGAAAGAATATTAGAACTTTAGTCCAGGGCTCATCCGGCCCAACACCGCAGCCACCGAAAGTAATCCCCTCCCCGAGGAATCATCCACCCGTGGCAGAACTCTTAAACCATGCACATATACCTGAAAATGTTCGAAAGATATAGCGCGGTTATATATATATGTATCACCCCCGATGGGGGCCCGTGTGTGCCTTTGCAAAACAGACATCAGACCCCGTACAACAAAGTCCACAGCTTCAGCACAGGTTCATGCCTCTGCGGATGAAGGTGGGCTTTTCTCAGGGCTTTCCGTCGTTTCTTGTAGGTGGCGCAGTTAAGTTTAGGGTTTAGGGTTAGGGTTTAG